AAGACAGCTCTGACATGGCGACGGTGAGAAATGCTATCTTGTGAAAAGATAAGTATGTCATCAAGGTAAACAAAAGCGTAAATGTTAATCATGTCACGAAGGACATCATTAACCAGGGCTTGGAAAACGGCAGGAGCGTTGGTGAGGCCGAATGGCATAACAAGATATTCATAATGGCCATCTGCGGTATTAAAAGCCGTCTTCCATTCATCTCCTCGCCGTATCCTGACCAAATGGTAAGCGTTGCGAAGATCCAGTTTGGTGAATATCTTAGCATTTTGGATTATATCAAAAGCAGAGTTCATGAGGGGCAGAGGATACTTGTTCTTTATGGTTATTTTGTTAAGTTCTCTATAGTCAATGCATGGACGAAGTGACCCATCTTTCTTCCCTACAAAGAAAAAACCTGCACCAGCGGGGGATGCTGAAGGTCTAATGATACCAGCTTGGAGGGACTCTGTTATATATTTCCTCATGGACTCTTGCTCGGGACCAGACAAAGAATATAATCTACCCCGAGGGGGGGTAGAACCTGGGATCAGGTCAATACCACAATCGTATGGACGATGTGGCGGAAGGGACGTAGCTTTTGATTTATTAAAGACCTCTTTCAAATCATGGTACTCTTTAGGTACCTGACTTAGATTAGGATAGGTCTCCTCATTGGCTGTGACAAGGGCTGGTGAACTGGGTTGGCTCTGAATACATGTAGAATAACACTCATTAGCCCATCCTACAATCTCTTGGTTCCTCCAATCGATTTGGGGGTTGTGTTTGCGTAACCAAGTGGAACCTAAAACCACTGGGAGTTGGGGTGAATCAATAACAATGAATCTGATCAGTTCCGAATGGTTGTTGGCCGACACCATGGTGACTGGAACAGTTTCAAGACTAGATTGACTTAAAGGATGACCATCTAAAGCGAGGACCTTATGGTTGTTAGGTGATGGAACAATGGTCAGATCTATGGATTTGGCAAAGGTTTTATCAATGAATTCCGTGTCGGCCCCTGAATCAATAAAAGCTGAGACGATGACGGGTTGACCACCCTTTATTATGAACTTGACCTTGGACTTGGACATGATAGGTGGAGAGGACTTGATCTTATGACTAAGACTCAACAGGAGCCTCTCTTCTCCTGCTGAGCCTGGTCTTTTACTGGACAATGATGACAATCATGACCGCCTTGACCACAATAAAAACAGAGATGGTACCTCCTCCGACGTTCTCGTTCCTGGGTGGTCAGACGACATCTTCCTAGTTGCATGGGTTCCGTAGCATACAGAGGATCCTGAGGGCTCTTGGTTTGTTCCGTTTTAGGTTCAAGATCCACAAGGTGATGTCTGGTTCTGGACATGGCTGTGGCCTTGCCTCGACTCTGTTCACGGTCACGCTCACGCTCACGCAGGCCAAGGTCAACACGGGTGGCCACCTCCTCCAGCTGGCCTAGGGATCAGGGATAGTCCATTGTTGCCAGCACATCCTTAACATCTTCATTAAGCCCCCTGAAGAAGGCGTCAGTGAGTGCGTGTTCATCCCAATGACTGTCTGCTGAAACAGAGTGAAAGTGAATGATGTATTTGGTTACAGAATCCTTGCCTTGTTTAATATCAAAAATTCTTCGGGCTGCCTCTCTCTCAGGGAGGATGGGGTCAAAAACCCGACACAACTCTTTGGAAAATTCAGAAAAATTACGACATACCACGCCACCTTTTAACCATTCAGAAGTGCCCCACGTCTTGGCTCTTCCAGCGAGAAGTGAGACAGCATAAGCTACTTTAGCATGCTCAGTGGGAAAACATCAAGGTTGCAATTGAAATTGAATGTCACACTGAGTCAAAAATGGTCGACATTGCTCAGGCTCACCTCTGAAATGTTCAGGGGGGGGCTAACCGTGGTTCTCTTGGTGCAGGAGTCAACAGGGTTTGGTTGATGACTTGGTTTGACTGTTGGGACAAAGCTTGAAGAGAAACAACCATTTCCTGAAGCCCTTTCTCAAGTTTACTAACAGCCCCTTCTACCTTAGAGCACCACTCTCGGGTTGGTGTTGGATCCATAATGGCCAGATTCTACTGTCATGAACCAGAGGCCGGATCGCAAACAACAACAACAACCACTGAGAGGGTTAAAAGATTTATTGTGAAATAAAGTAAAACTCTGGAGTAGGTCCGGTTCCGGGCTGGTTCCGATCTTCTGATTGGTAGTTCGAGATTGGGTAGTGTTGTAGTTGCGGGCTGCCAGTAGAAGTAGAACTGATGTTAAGGTCCACTGGAACGGAGTCCAACAGGCTTGCAACTAAAAGATAAAGGTTAGTAGATGCAGGGGGAAAAAGACTAATTGGGGAAATGAATCTGTGGGAATCAGATTCAGGGGTAAGGATAAGTCCGTGATACAGAATGAGCTTGACCTTTAATCCGTGATCCAAAAAACAGTCAGAAGGGAAAGGCAGAGTTCATACCGTGAAGTCAGTTGTTCAGCAGAAGTATCCAGTACGTGATCCAAAAAAGAGAGTCAAAAAACAAGAGCATGAGTCAGTACCTGATCAGATGAGCAAAAACAGACGAGGGCTGAGGCAAAAGCGTGGTCGTGGTCAAGGCAAGGGTCATGAACGTGATGAGTCAATCAATGGAATGCTGGAAAGTCTACTGCTGATGAGACAGGATAGAGAATCTGGCCCAGACTGAGAGGAATGAGTGAGCTTAAGTACTGACTGGACCAGGTGGTGGAGCTGTGGGATAATGAGCGGTGACAGGTGACATGAGTTGAGTGATTACTGAGTGTGCAGCATGACAGAGGAGCTGACAGAGAGCAGAGCTATGACAGCCCTAGAAATAATAATAATAATAACTCCTTACCAATGGCCTAGTATAGAACAATATGATCATCATGGTGTTTATTAGTAACTTAAAATACCTAATTAAAACTCCAGTAGTGGGATAGGTCTGTTTTAACTTTACCCAGTTGTAGGGTCAAAAGACAAACATGTAGCATTAACACAGTATGAACAACATTCAGGAATTTTTTCTATAAGAACATTATCAAATATTTTATGTGAACAGTAAGATCGCTCCTCCCATGAGAAAATGTAACCCAGGGACAAACTAACAACATGATTGTAATGGTCGAGGTAGTGAAGCTCACAGTGTTTAGTGAGACATTTCTGCATTATCAGCCAACATTAAGGCAAAGAAGTCAGGCAAAAAAAATTAAATAAAATAAAAAAATCTAATCTATTAATAACTTCAAATAGTTACTGCAGTAGATGTTTTCATGCCGCAGAGTCAGGGCCAGATTAACACTTTGCTGTGGGCAACAATCTTCAAGGGCCCCATCATCACGACCCCAGAATCACCGTAATCTGTCAAAATACAGAATAAATTACCATAATATACAGCAAATATACTTCACATTCTAACTATCAAGTGTATTTTGATGTATAAAAATCCAAATGCTCATAGAACTATAAATGCTACTATGTCCTCTTGTTGACACAAATCATCAAGACTGAGTTAAGTTGAACGCACTTTGAACACCATATGACACCATGTGTACTTGTTTAGCAACGTGCTGGCCACTGGAGTCAGAAGCATTTGTAATGGGGGAGGGGGGGGGTCGTCCCCCAGAAAATTTTGAATAAAGTAGATGCCATTTCCTGCATTCTGGTGTATTTTAACGGTTGTTAAACATCTAGTTTTACCTACATAAGTAAACACTTGATTCAGTAACTATTTTAGAGCTAATGGCACAACAAGAAGTAGCCTGACCAACAGCTGATTCAATGAATTAAAAATATAATCAAAAGTGACAATTTGATGCCCACATTAAAACTAAATGACTGTAAATTAGTTGACTTCAAATGTAATAAGATTATCAATGAATGAATGCAACAAAGGATTTACTGATTATAACAAAGAATCTTTCAAGAAACCTCCCATTATAAATCATAAAACCAGAATGATTTCTGCTCATTCTAAATTTGTCAAATGGCCTAAATCTCCTAAAGTGAAGGAGAATCATTTTAAAATAATAAATAAGATATATCCTGTAGCCATGTTTCTGCAAAGAAGGTTTAAATTTGAGGTTGATTTGTGTCTTCAGTAAATCAGAAGATGAATCCCTCGAGCATTTTTATTTTTTCATGTCAATACAAAAGTGTTTGGTCCGACATCAGAAACTGGATTAATCTCAAACTCAAGATTCCTTCTTTTCATGCTGATTCCATTTTACTTTATGTGGATAACTGAAGCTCAGCTTTCTCTGATGCCATAAATATAGTTGTACTTATAGCAAAGTACCACATTCACTGTAGAAAGAGGAGAGATAATAAGTCCTCCGTCCTGTTTGATGAACGATTTTAAGTCATACTGTTCTTCATTAAGTAGATAAAACATCTGCAAAACTGATACAGATACAAAAACAGTAAAACATCCATCCTTCCATCCATCCATCCATCCATTTTCTTTACCCGCTTATTCCATTTTGGGTCACAGGGGTCGCCGGTGCCCATGTCCAGCAATCACTGTGCGAGGGGCGGGGTACACCCTGGACAGGTCTCCAGTCCATCACAGGGACACATAGAGACAAACAACCATTCACTCTCTCACTCACACCTAGGGACAATTTAGAGTCACCAATCAGCCTAACATGCATGTTTTTGGTCTGTGGGAGGAAACTGGAGCACCCGGAGAAAACCCATGCATGCACGGAGAGAACATGCATAAATATAATTAGAATTTAAAACAAGAAAACCCATTCGGAGTGTCACAGAAATGTTAAATCGGGTCATCTGGACAGGTTCTTCGTATTTCACAGCCTGTTTGTGTCAACATAACTCACTGTTCTTACCTTGCGCTCCAGGCAGGAGGTGGAGCAGCTGCTGTTTCCTCTGATGGGGCCAACCCACAGCCCTTGCCATACTCTTTCTACTCATTGTTTTCCTAATGAGACACTCAGCACATAAGAAGTGTTACTGATCCCAGCAGGTCCACAGAGAAGAAGTCATGGCGCGGACCAATAAGGCCAGGGTGTACATTGGTTGCGCGCTCTTGCTGCTCCTCATCCTCATCATAATTGTGTGTATTGCAGTCTCTGTGCGGCGCAGATGTCCGAATGACTCTTTCAGCAGAGGTGCTGTGGCTGCAGACTCAAAGAAATGCTCAGAAATCGGAAGGTGAGTAAAACATTTAATGGTTGTAGCCAGAAAAATAACGTAAACATGTGTTTATATGAAAAAAACATCACTTTGCGCACAGTAATGAGTACTGGCATACACTGTTGCGTTCTAATGCTTTCAGTTTGATGTGCATTGACTTTGTTTTGTTGCCAAAATCGATGGAAAATTATTATTACTGTATCACTATTATTATAATCAGTATGTATTAGTATTGTTACAAACAAAGAGGCTCAGAGTCAGGAATGATGACTTCGGACTGACAGTATGGGAAGCAGTCATCATGCAAAACATTAAAACAAATTTCCTGCTTACAATTTAGTCGACTGACACGGAAAATGATTGTGACCTTTTCAGGAACATCCTTCAACAAGGAGGCTCTGCGGTAGATGGCGCCATCGCTGCGCTTCTCTGCACCTCCGTCATGAACCCGCAGAGTGCGGGGATCGGAGGAGGCTCCATGATCACAGTGATGGACAGCTCTGGTAACAAACAGTCACGCATCTGCTGCAGCTGGAGTAATAAGAGGCAGAGATAACTGAGCATGATGTTTCCAAAGGTGAGGTGAAAACCATCAACTCCAGAGAGACTGCACCTTCAAACATGAAGCCTGGTCTGCTGAACTCCTGTCCCAACACTTTCCAAACGATGACAGGTAACTCTGCTCCGCTCTGACATGTCAAACACCTTCATCCGTTTGTTTCCTTATCTGTAAAGGGAACCATTCTTGTTTTTCCGGCTTTGCCTGTTGGTTTCAGGTCACAGGCTACAACTCTCTAAAGGTGTTTCAGTTCTGGTCTTACAAATTTAAAAAGACAACTAGTTTTGGAACTTCTTGGCATTGATAGTCCTCTTTGTTCAGAGTCTCATATGATTAAAAACAAGCTCTTTAGTCCTGTATCGACAAACTGCCTGATAACTTTCACATCTAACAATATGAAAGAATTATTTACAAGATAATCTTCTGTTCAAAAATTATACTAGATGATAGGATTAAAAACAAGTGAAGAGCAAAAAACCTGCCATATCATCTGTAAGTTGGTTGTTGGTCACGGTCTGGAGCGGAATGGAGAATTCAGATCGGAGCTGAAGAGCTCAGAAGAATACATTTTTATTATTTAAATAAAATAAAATGTTGAAATGACTGCCCAAATCTCACTTACAGGATAACTCAATAGGAACAGGTGCTACATAACCTCAGGGAGAATCATTACAACGTGTACAAAACACACATAACGCTCATGTGAGGAGCAAATGGGATGACATGAAAGAGCAGCACAGAGGAGCAGGAAAGACTAAGTAATTAAACACAGGAATACAAAATCTTCAAGTTGCTTCATCATGTCCTGACAATCTACAACGTTATGTTGTTATCAGATTGTTAAGCTCCTTTAATTCACCACCTTGCCACACTTGGATACCAGAAATTATCCAGTCCAAATTCCTTTGTCTATGCTGTCCATCAAAGTGAGATAGCTTAGTGAGTCACTGTCTCACTCATCTTTGGCATACAAGTTGATGGCATCATTGTAGAGGAGGTGACTGATGACTGTTACACTTTTGAATCAGTAGCCATAGACAGCTTTTATGACAATAGAGCTGATGGGTAAAACCTATACAAGACAGTAATGGGACCAGAGCATCTATATGGCTCATTTATACGGACTTGTACTATATATATATATCATATATATTTCGTTATTTTATTGTTTGCACACCATAATAAACAATACACATAAAGGAAAAGATAAAACAAAATGTGCAGTAGAGGTAATTGGCTTACAAGCCCCCCCCCCCCCAATTGTTTTAAACTGTTCCACAACACAACACCCTGATGCATGAATGAACATTTAGCAACAGTGGTTCTGCAGGTAAATCATCCCTCCTTCTTGTAGAGTATGAATGATAATAAGAATTAAACTCAAAGAAATTATGAAAATATTTAGGTAAAGTTAATGGAATACATATACCTTTATACATCAAGATTCCTGTTTGATACTTATTCACATCATAAATTGTAAGAATTTCAAATTTTTTAAAGAGAGGTGTGGATGGAACTAAATACGGAGAGTTAGTGACAAATCTTACAAAATATTTTTAAAGTTTATGGATTGACTGTAAGTAAGAAGGATAGGTACTAGCCCAAATTAAATTACCATAAGAAATATGGGGATAAATTAAACTATTGTACAAGGTTAATAAAGTACTTGTTTTTAAATAGTGTTTAATCTTTTTTATAATACCTAACGATTTTGAAATCTTCTTACCGTACTCACTGATTCACAGTGATTCTTAAAACAAAGTTTCTCATCAATATAGACACCTAAGAACTTTGTTGATGAAGCACTGGAAAGTAAATTGTTATTAATATAATTTTTTGTTTTTTCAGGATTGTAATTCTTATTCTTGTTCTTAAATAAGATGAAATTAGATTTTTTAACATTAAGTGATAATTTATTTAACTGAAACCACTGAGCAAATTGAATGAGCCCATACTTTGCCTTATTAATAAGTGAGTCAAGATTACCAGCAGCAACGAAAAGATTGGTGTCATCAGCAAATAAGATAAGTGATAAAATACTAGATGCTTTTGGTAGATTATTAATGTAAATGAGAAACAACAATGGACCCAAAATGGATCCTTGTGGAGCGCCACATTTTAGGACATCCCGTTGTGACAATACACCATTAAAAATTACAATTTGCTCTCTGTTGTTCAAATACTGGTAATTTTCAACCCATTTCAAAACCATATTTTTAAAACCATAACAAGACATTTTTGATAATAAGATTTCATAATCTACAGTGTCAAAAGCTTTTGATAAGTTTAAGAAAATTCCTAGAGCATATTCATTTTTCTCAAAAGCATTTGAAGTATTTTCTTTAAGATGCAAGAGAGCCATATATGTAGAATAATTATTTCTAAAGTCATACCGATGCTCATACAAAATATTGTTGGCATCAAGATGCCTCAAGATTCTAGCATACACCAACCTCATGTACAGTATCTTGGAAAAAGCATGGGAGAACTGATGTGGGACGATAATTTGAAAATACAGATGGATCATTGGCTTTAAACAGTGGGATAACCTTGGCAAGTTTTAGATCTTGTGGAATAATACCAGATTCAAGTGACATGGAAAAAATAAAAGTTAGAACAACAATTATAGGTGAAACTTTTTTGATAACATAGGCTGTAATTTCATTGTGGCCAACAGAAGAGTTTTTTAGAGTCTTAATGATATCAAGTACTTCTAAATGTTTTATTGGATCAAATGTATTTAAAGAGGGATAATTTTTATTTATAAAGTTAGAAGGAGGATCAGAAACATTATCAAGATTCTTTGCAAAGTGTGGTTCAACATTTATATGAAAAAAAAAATTATTAGCAATTTCTGTTGGATCTGTTATGATTGAAGTGTCATCCTGAAATGCAGCCTGGGATGGAGTAGAGGTATTTTTCTTATTGAGTAGGAGTTTCAAAATATCCCATGTAGATTTTGAATTATTTGATGATTGGGTAAATAGATCGGGCAGCATGGTGGTGCAACTGGTAGAGCTGCTGCCTCTCAGCGAGCAGGTCCCTGGTTCAAACCCCGGTCCAGGGGCCTTTCTGGGTGGAGTTTGCATTTTCTCTCCGTGCATGTTTGGGTTTTCTCCAGGTACTCCGGTTTCCTCCCACAGACCAAAAACCTGTATGTTAGGCTGATTGGTAACTCTAAATTGTCCATAGGTGCGAGAGAGTGAATGGTTGTTTGTCTCATTTGTCTCTATGTGTCCCTGTGATGGACTTGTGACCTGTCCAGGGTGCACCCCGCCCCTCGCACAGTGATTGCTGGACATGGGCACCAGCGACCCCCGTGACCCAAAATGGAAGAAGCGGGTAAAAGATAATGGATGGATGGATGGTAAATAGATCACTATAGTAATTTCATTTAGTATTTCTAATGAGGTGATTATAATTATTCCTATAATTTTTGTATGTTGGCAAGTTTAAAGGACTGGGGTTTAACAAATATTTTTATATAACTTATTTTTCTTTACATTAGATTTTCTAAGTTCTATGATAAAGTATATCAGAGTCAGAGATACTTTATTGTCATTCGCACCTCATGTGGTACATGTGGTGGAGCAAAATTATGTACACAAGGTCCCAGTTACATCCAACAATAAAATGTAAAAGAAAAACAATGATAACATCTAAGATATGAACTAAGAAAAAAAAAACACCAACTAAATATACACTAAGCACCAATAGCGCACAAACATGAACATGAGTCTGTGTGAGCAGATGAGCACGCATGAACACATCAACATTGAAACAGATCAGCAGCAACATGAAACAGATCAGCAGCGACATTGAAACAGATCAGCAGCAACATTGAAACAGATCAGCAGCAACATTGAAACAGATCAGCAGCAACATTGAAACAGATCAGCAGCAACATGAAACAGATCAGCAGCAACATGATGTGATTTTATATATACACATATACAAATATATCTATCTATCTATATATATATATATATAGATATATATATTGCAGACAACCCCCCACCAGCGCCGACACTGGTCAGACTCCAGAAACCATCCGAGCACATACATAATGTAAAATGTGTATACATGTATACCGTATATCCTGAAAAACCAATAGAATGTTTAAATGATAGGTTGAAATCTTTTATTGATTGTCCTCTCATCCAACCATGCAGGTACCGAATGGATTGGAGTTCCAGGAGATATTCGAGGTTATGAAATGGCACACAAGCTCTATGGAAAGCTGCCGTGGGCCGACCTCTTCCAGCCGACCATCAAACTGGCCAGAGAAGGATTCCCCATTCCTAAACTTCTGGGCAGTTACATCCCATACATCTTAAACTCAAACAAGACCAGAGCCCTGTGGTACAGAAGAAAACATGACTCACAATGTGACTGAAAAACATGAGCTGACTAAATATACATTTTAAACATTTCTCTTGTTATGCTTGTCCATTTAGGGATTTATTTTCAGATAAGAATGGAAACTTGCTGAAGACTGGAGACATTGTGAAATTTGAGAAACTGGCCGACACTTTGCAGATGATTGCAAATCATGGAGCAGAGAGTTTCTACACTGGGCAAATTGCAAAGGATTTAATTGATGATGTTCAGGAGGCAGGTATTGTCAGATGCATTTTATCAAGTTTTTTATGTTTTCTGTATTTGCATGGTTAAATAATCCACTTAAAAATAAACAAATCACGTAAAAATCATTGCAGCCATCACTCAGACTGCCCTAATTTTTCAAATGTATTAACTTTTTTTTAAAGCTGGGATGAGTTTTCTATGGCTTTGCTCAGGATAAATCATTCGTATTGCCCCTTTTACCTAGGAGGAACACTCACTCTGCAGGATTTGAAAAACTATAGTGCTACAGTTACTGATGCGTGGGCTGTTCCTTTGGGAGAGTACCAGATGTACATACCACCACCCCCTGCCGGAGCAGTCCTCCTAGGCCTCATTCTCAACATCCTGAAAGGTTAAATTACAAAATAAAGGCTTACATATATATACAAAGAGAAACACACACACAGCAGGATTTGAAAAACTATAGTGCTACAGTTACTGATGCGTGGGCTG